ATGTCTTCTTTATGGTATGACATGATGTCTAAGATTGGTGCATGAGTGTTATTACACTCACTGTAAACGTGCTATTTCCCACTAGTGTTTTGTTTGTTTGCCTCCTGGGCGCCTTCCTGGGGAGGTGTTCCAGGCGTGTTCCACCGGGAGGACGCCCCAGGGAAGACCCAGGACACGCTGGAGGGACTATGTCTCTTGGCTGGCCTGGGAACACCTCAGTATCCCCCCGGAGGAGCTGGAGGAAGTGTCTAGGCAGAGAGAAGTCTGGGCATCTTTGCTTGGACTGCTGCCCCCTGCGACCCGGTTGCAGATACTTTTGAAATATTTAGCTTTATTTTGAAAATCTTGCTCCATTCAAATGAATGGGAAAATTCTATTTCAGCGTGATTTTAGCTATCAAAATGTTCAGCTCTTCAATGACATTCATGGTTTTCTTCAGAAATTTTCTAAACTTCACACTTTTAAAATATTTAGCTTTATTCTGAAAATCTCACCACATTCAAATGAATGAGAAAATTCTTCTTCAACACACTGTCAGCTATTTCAGCTATCAAAAATGTTCAGCTCTTCAAGGACATTCATTGGCCTGGGAATGCCAGGCATTCCCCGGAGGAGCTGGAGGAAGTGTCTGGAGAAAGGGAAGTCTGGGCATCTTTGCTTAGACTGCTGCCCCCGCGACCTGGTCCCAGATAAGCAGAGGAAAATGGATGGATGGATGGATTGTTGCATTGTGGTGGGGTGTTTAATAACCACAGTTGGCAAATGGTTTTGGCATCATAAATCTTATCCATCTTACTTTTTCCAAGCTACATGGAAATCAGGCCACAGGGTGGTGGTAATACAGAGTTTAGTTGCTGACAAAACCTAGCAAATCTGGCAAGCTGCATCTGAAAATGTTTTTTTTAAAAAGTAACCACCTGAAACAGACATTTTGACAGTCATTCCTGTTTTGCACAGTAGTTGACCAGGGGTAAAGGTGGGCAGGGTTTGAACTCTCAAGCTCACTTTATATTCCTTAAATTACTTTAAGTCATTTTCTGTGTGTACAAATGTGTTTAAAATTGTGAGTGCCTTTGAGAGAAGGCTGCCTGAAAGTTTGCACTGTTATCACAACTGTACGATTCATTACACTGAGATTACAAAGCAAGCAAAAATACATGGAATTGTTGGAGAGGAGCCAGAAGGAGGCTATGATGCCAGGCTTTTTTCTCCCCTCTTCAGTGGTCTTGGTTCAGAACAGGAATAAACATTTTTGCTTTTAAATGTGCTCAGTCCAAACATAGTCTGGCCTTCTTCAAATGAACCATACTTGGGCTTTAAAGTTCTATCATTCAAATATATACATACTGTAGATACATACACTCAGGTGTCAGTTTATTACATTTGTTGACAGTTTTTTTTTATTTTATTTTATTCCCTCCATTCAAATTAGTGAGGGTGGGGGAAATAACAGCTACACCTCTTTGTTTAAGCTAATGCAGTCCAACAGCACTGCAGTCTGCAGCCTCCAAAATGATCATACATTTGAATCAACACCTCTCTCAAACTGCTTCAACAAGAACTAAACATCACCTCTATCATCGCCTTCATGAAGGGAGGTTATATTACTGGACTGATGTATAAAGCTGAATAACTAAAACAATTCGCTAATTGTAAGTAATAAACTGCCAACTGAGGATATATATAGAGACAAATGCATTTGCACCTTCCCATCATCAGGTATAAAGATTTATTTTCCCATTTATGTAACTCGCTTCTGTAATCCACTTGAGCTGTCAGTCCACTGTGAAGTACAGTGCATCTGTGTCTGTTTTCATTCATTTCAATACTGCGCATAAGAAGCAGATTAAAGGGTCATTTTGCTAGCTCATTGGATAATTACCCGTTTTAATTGCTTCCAGTCAAGAGTATTAGCAAGGGCCCTTTGTTGTGCACTCTGTTTCCTCTGCCACTGTTTGACATCCTCCAGTTTCAGACTTGCTGACAGCACAGAAGTCAATTAGGGTTTAAAGAGACTCAAGGAGGCTTCTTTGTTCTACCTAAGTATTGGAGTTGAGAAGGACAAAGGTCCTTAAGGCTTTTACAAGACTTAGCTTTTGGTCACATCTGAAGAGCTTCAGTCTCATTGTGTGGCTCTTTCCTTTATTTACACTGAACTAATGTTTCCAACCTGAAAGGAGAGCTGTGTTTTTACCCAATAATGAACTCACAATACAACATTCTCAATAAAAAAAGAAAAAGAGAGGCACTTCAAATTCAGGTTAAAGGGCACTTTGTGGCATATATTAATGCTAATTGCTAACTGACTTTGCAATAATATCTTAAGATGAATAAAATATAGGATCTCTCCACAGCCCACTCCCTCCTTATATATTGTACTTTTTTAAACATGGCACTGAATTGCAGAACAAGAAGAGTAGAAAAAGTTAGTCATGAATTTTGTTGTTTATGCTTTGGTAGCCTCTAAGGATTATTTGCCTTGTGTCCATGGTGATTCTGTTGTGGCTGCGGATCGGTGCACTCCCAGCAACTCGCACTAGCACTGGGACCATCAACAACTCTGCCTCTGCAGGTGCTGGAGTGCACTCCTGGTGGCGGTCATCCTGTCGGTAACTTCGCATGTTTACATGAAGCTAAGCAATTTTGGAGGATTTTTCTACTAACCTGATTTGAATAATAATAATAAACTTTATTTCTAAAGTACTTTACAGCTCACCTAAGCACAAAGTGCTGTACAATACCGAATAGCAACATAGAACATCTTAGCAGTCTATAAACAAATAACACACCGATAAAAAGGTCTGCCTAAAAAGATGAGTTTTTAAAACTGACTTAAAAATCGATAACTCAGTTATATTCCAAAGCTCCTGTGGCAACGAATTCCACAGTCTAGCAACATGGACAACGAAGGATCGGTCGCCCCACTTCTTGTACCGTGACTTGTTGTACCATTGACCACCAGTGCCAGGTGCTCTGCAGATCGCAGCGCTCTGCGTGGGGCATACACAGTCAGCAACTCTGATAAATACTGCGGAGCAAGTCTGTAAATTGCCTTAAAGACAAACAACAAAACTTTAAATTGCACTCTCCACTGCACTGGAAGCCAGTGCAATGAGCGGAGAACCGGAGTGATATGGGCAAATTTGGATGTGTTGGACAGCAGCCAGGTTGCAGCATTTTGAACTACTTGCAAGTTTTGGGGAGAGGATTGCGACAGGCCGGCATAAAGAGCATTACAGTAGTCCAGACGCGCCATTATAAGAGCATGGATAGCTTTTTCCAGATTTGCACGTGATTAAAAACGACTTAACCTTCGCTAACAGCCTTAAATGAAAGAAGCTAAATTTGACTATGGCTCTGATCTGTTTTTCAAAGTTGAAGCCACTATCAAATATATATATAGGTTTGTTAGTGAATCTTTAAGTGGAGGGGCTAACACACCTAACTTAGGGACACCTGCGTGTGGTCCGGCACTGATCAGCATATACTCAGTTTTACTGTCATTTAGATGCAGGAAATTCTGCGCTAACCATTTCTTGATGTCTCGGATGCAGTCATCTAAAGAGGCAAGTGGATTTTGATTATCCTGTGTTAACGGTATATAAATTTGTATATCATCGGCATAAAAATGAAAGTGAACATTATGATTTGCTATAATAGGTGCTAGAGGCAGCATGTATAGGGAGAATAACAACGGAGCCAGGGTCGAGCCTTGCGGGACACCTGAAGTGAGAGGAGCTGTGTCAGAGGCAAAGCCGTCAACGACAACGGAAAAAGTTCTATTGGTCAAAAAAGAGCTAAACCATCTTAAAACCGAACCTCTCAGGCCGATAAGATGTTCAAGTTTGGAGAGTAGGATTGCATGGTCAACAGTATCAAAAGCTGCAGACAAGTCTAAGAGGACCAGCATTACAGACAGTTTTGCATCTAAGGCCGTGGTAATATCATTGTGGACCCTCACCAGAGCAGAGCAGAGCATTTTGACCAGTTCCGTTGTCTCCATGGTTTCAGTCATTCTGATTTGCAATTGCTGCTTTGTGTTATGAACTGTTTGCCAGTGGTTGAGACACCTGATTCCTCTGTGACTCTCTGGACTCCTGCCCTTTTTGAATTGTAATTGCTGCCTTATGTTATGAACAGTTTTGCCCATGTTTTGAGATACTTGATTCTTCCTGTAACCTGATTGGCTCCGGCCATTCTGATTTTGTGTGGCACTCTGCGCGAGGCCTGTGAACTGTTTTCTCTGTCAGAGAGAAGTACAGTGGGTACCTTGCACTCGGTGGTGATTACTTCCCCAGGTACTGGACCTCTGCTTCCGGCCCTCATCACATCATCCTTTGACCTGCTCTGCTGTCACCAGTCAGCCAGACCAGCTACCTCCACTACACAGATTCCTCTCACTGGGCCAGTGATTTCCTACGTCAGCTCCAGCCTCCTTTGACCGCTTTCCCGGCCAGCAGCGCTCTCCAGCCTAAAGCCAGCACCCACCTATATTCAGGTCCTCTGTTTTAGTACTTGATATAGACTCTATCTCTGTATACCTGTTATCCTCTCTCACATTCTCATTCTTTGCTTTAACATAGTGCGCTGCACCTCTCCTTCAACCCCGGGTTGCTCCTCTAGTGGTCCAGTCAATACAGCATCCCCAGATGTTCGAGATCCGCTGCAATATCTCCGTGTCCGGTCCTCACTGATTCCTCATTTCAGTATTCATTAAATTATATGCTTTTCCAAGCCTGAGTGCGAGTCCTGCATTTTTCTGAGCCCCCTCTGGTTGTTGTGATACAGCTAGCCGTAACAGATTCTTTCTCACAAAGGTATTTTTTGCACACCAAGTTTCATACAATATGGAATTAAGGCTTTACATTCTTTGCACAGTATGTTGCCTTTTTATGAGAAAGGTGAAAGGGTTTCTGTGTGTTTCCTCTGAGGAACTTCAAGTTCATCACATTGAAAATGAAAATAGTCCTCATTTTCCTCATTCTCTTGTCCTTGCTCAGTGCTTGGTGTTTGAAGATGCTCCCAATGGTGTAAAGGCAGCGCTAGCTGCGGGGATGCAGGTGGTGATGATTCCTGATGATAACCTGGACCCTAGCCTTGCTCGGGTGGCCACGCTGCGACTTCGGAGCATGGAGGAGTTTGAGCCACAGCTTTTTGGCCTGCCAGCATTTAACTGATTCTATTCTTACTCTTCAGAGGGAACTGTAATGATTGAGTCTGAAAAACAAGTTGATGGTTTTTCCTTTATGCCTTACCATATTCTTTGATTAGTGATATTTTCAGTTATTGTCATTGAATTGTTTTATATCACATGGGAGATCACTGAACAAAGTCTTTAGGCTGTTAGTCCTCAAGCCATTATTAGCAACTAGGTTTTTAAAACGCTTTTTGATGTGTCACACATGCTTTTTCAGTCAACTCTAGGGGTGTCCGGATATTTACAAGTTCAGGTTTGAAGATATTGAAGATATATATGAAGATGAACATGGACACACCCAAACACCACTTGTGCCAATACATCTTGATCAGATGCTGTCTAAAAAGTTGCACTTGCAGTTGAATTTTTCTAATATTTTTGATGTTGTATCAGAGGCTTGAGGCAGTGATTTAGAAAGTAGACAAAACTGAAACATCTGCATGACTATGAGCACTGGGAGCTTATGGAAAAGCATCTTTCTGTAATTTTTGAGTGACTGATTACTATATAGGTATACTAAATATTTAGCAAGTCTAGTTTGTAGATCATCTAAAATACTCAACATTTGTTTACATTTGCCCTTTGCCTTTGTTAGATTGCATGTATGAATTAATGTGCTATTTTTTTCTAATAAAATGTAATAAAAAATAAAGAAAATCAATTGTAATCAAGATAAGTGGAAAAAATCAAATTTACAAATGAAGCAAGATTTTTCACAACTGCTGATTTTTATTTGAACCTCAGAAATTTAACACATTCAGGACAGTTTACGCAGCTGAACACACAGTAACCATTTTGGTCTACACAACACATCAGCTCCATTGAACACAGACAAACCTATACTTTACAGGAGGGGCAGAATCATCTTGAGTGCATGTTGCATATGTATGTCTTGCACTTGATGCATGTATATTGTGTTTTTCTGTCCATCTTGGGTCCACACACTCCACAGCGCTTCTTTTGGTTGGAACCTAGACTAACGAAAAGATAAGAAATACTTAGCACTGTTAGGTATTTTTAGTCAGATAGATATTGGTTAGATACTTTATGTATTAGAAATGTTTAGTGGAGATAAGATGTCTAGTTAGACTGTTAAATGCTTAGTCATGCTTATGAGTTTCTACAGGGTGCATCTGGTCAAGGATAACTAGAGAGAAAAGTTGATGACTGTCAGCAGACAGGATGTTTAATATTATTATTATGACATGTATAACTGTAGCCTTAGCCATAATATGTTCTTATGCTTAATGTCATGACATGTCACTAGATGTCACCACACAATCAACAGACAATCACACATTGATTTTCTTCATGCTTTGACTACTGCTATGGTCAGCTGCAAAGCTGGCACCGGCCAGCTGCAAAGCTGGCACCGGGAGACATCACGGTTTGCCATTCCTGTGTAGAATGGGGTTAGCCCGAAGTGATATAATGTATAGGCCTGTTGTGGTTCAGGGTCTTTCATCTTTCAGCTGCCTGCGTGCATGTTGGAGGTGCAAGATACCTGAGCGTGTAATGTTAATTTTTATCTGTTCATTGAATAAATCAGCACTGTTTTGAAGTTACTTGGACTGCTTCGTCTCTCAGAGTTAGCGTGGTTAAAAGTACCGGGTACAACACCATCTTGATCTGTTGAGATATCAGTTGTGAAATGTGAAGAACAATGCTGCCTGAGCTATAGTTAGTGTGTCTGCCCAGCCCCCAATGTGGAGGGGGTGGAGGGTGTTACATGTGAGATCATAGAGATGTAAATGCTTGAAATGGAGACAGTGGAGCACACCTGGCCAATAAAGCTGATTCTGATTGTCAAAGCATGAGGGTCGTAAACTCACACCTATTTGTGTCTCAAAGAATGAGTGTTGTAACTTCACACCTCTGAATGGGGCACCAGCATTCTCATCCTGAATCCTCCTCGAGATGACTGCAGAGGCTGGAGGTCTTGGAACCTTCGTTTTGGAACTGGCTTATGTATTGGCAGATCTGTATGTACAAGGTATATTTACAGGTATTGCACCTGTAAATATACCTTGTACATACAAAATCAAACATTTTTATGCAAAATGACTCAACAGATGTGTACTTCATCCCAAACAAATCCTTTGAATAAACCAGCACGGTTTTTTGTATCCACTTGGACCACCTCATCTCTCTGAATTCCTGGTTAAGAGAACTGGAAAAAATAGCTTTCAAGATGGTGCCGTGTCCCGTGAGCTAGCCGAACTCTTCAGGCAACCGGTCCGATCTTCCCAAGTAAAGATACTTATAATCCTGGACCAGACTGAGCTGATAATTCAACATGCAGTCCTGATTTCGACTGGTATCATTTCCTGGTCTTCAGTCTAGAGCAGTGCGGTCCCATACATCAACTGGCCGGCCAAAAACGAGGTAAGCGGAACCTTTGTTACACATAAACTCCACACATTGAATTATTTCCAAATCAAAGTTGATGTGTGGGCCGCCCAATCTTTGACGTTCCAAATTGGATCCAAAACAGTAAGGATAATGAAAACACATGTCTTATTCTCTGTGTTTTAACTGCTGTGCTGGTGTGTTCATTTTCTCACATGTAGAGTTAACAAAGCACATAGACTCATTTTGAGGGATAGTGAATGAGTGCTGTGATTACAGAATTTGATACCAATAAAGAGACGTAAAACTCACGTTTTATAAGCGAGTTCCTGCTAATTCAGAGCAGTGGTCTCTTAAAAATTGCCCGATTTCTTTTTCATTTTATTCCCCCTGAAAAGATCAGGCGAGTGAGACCTCTTGCCTGGAATTTAGGATCTTTGATAAATCCCACACTATAACACGGTACAGGGCCTGGTTGTTTGTTATTTTTCATGGAATGTGGGGGTGGTTTGCTGCTCGAAGGCTGTTCAGCACTGGCACATGTGTATCTCATAGCAACAAGTGCTACAGAGAAAATTCGATGTGCCACAGTGTGCCTCGGGCAGAGCTGTTTTGGGATCCGGGGCTGGGCATAGGTTATGGGAAAACTGTATTATAGCATTAGGGTGACGGCGTATTCAGTGGAATTAAAACAGACCTGTTGATTGGGTGAACCCCCAGTGGTCGGGCGCGGCAGAAACAGTTCTGCCGTAGAAGTTTCCAGACCGAATCAGCTGGTTCTGGGCAGAGATCATTCCACTTGGGGCGCTGTCACGTGTAATTTTAATATGTCTGCAAATGTTGTACAACATAGTACTATGCAAATTTTTTGTCTAAATGGTAAAATATCTTTTCTAAAGCAGGAACAAATCAGATGCCAGACTTAAACAAGCTGAGTGTTTTCTTGCGGTTATGTATGCCTTTTGGACACTTTCAAGTGTTTTCAGCCTCCTTCAGTCAGTTCAAGCAAGTAACAGAAGCCAGTTGATGGTTTTCTCTCCCAGTGGCACAGCTTTTTTTTGTTTTTTTCTCTCAGTCCAAGCAGTCTCTCAGAGATAGTGGCTGGCAAATTTTGAGGTCATATACACACACACACACATTTTCACCCCTCCTCTGGCTTTA